TGAAAGCAATGCGAATAAAAAACGTGTATTTTGGTCACAAGAGTGTAACTAGTGCCATGTGGACCAGTTTAGGACTGGTTACTTATATTACCAGTTTATTTTTATGAAAAGGGAGCCGCGAGAACAGCTTTATAGGAGATTTCATTTAGCTAAAGAATTATTTTTTATAGTCTTATTGTACTTATTTTACTAATCCCTCACTAGTACCTTTTTCACCAACGGAACACCAGTGCGTATGAAGTACACTTATATGCGTTACCAATTAATCTACATATTTTTATATGAGCCAGTTTGTGGCTGTTTGTTTTGGTTTTGATATGAACGCACTTTCTTGCTGCGACAGTGTGTCTGGCGTGAAATTAAAATTTTGCCGCTCAACACAACACAACCACAACACAAGCAAACTAAACAACAGCGGCGAAGTAGATGGGCAAATAGGCAAGCCAGCGCTGTAGAGCTCACAGCTTAGCAGCATACTTGTGGGGGCAGAGTGAGAAAAACATAAATTCAGCCACATAAATGAAAATGCGCGACAAAGACACATATACAAATACATAGTAACACCGGCGCATACTATAAAAAAAAAAAAACCGGCGCATAGCAACACATTCCTATACATATGTATTTACTCCCATACCAACGAATACATAGCTCTTTGAGGAGTTTTATGCGATTCGTTTATTGTGCTGTTTTGCAATAGAGGCAGTTGCTAACAGCAACAGCATTGTACAAAAAATGTTAAGAAAAAGCGAAATCCTTCAGTTGACAGTTTGTTGTTATGTAAAGTTGTCGTTGCTGTAGAACATAAGTTGTTTTTGAGCTTGCTTATCTCATAAGCATTTATGAAAACTGTTGCATGTCGGCAAATTTATTATTTGCTCATATTATTGTTGTTTTTCTCTAAATAATTATTACAATTTTGTCTCTTTTGTGGATTTTTTTACTATGAAAAATATGAAAACATATTTATATTTAAATAATATATTTAGAGTAAGATTTTGGACTTTTGTAAACACATATTACTTATGTTATAAAACATAAAAAAAGATTTAAAAATTGTATAGTAAAAAAATAGATAGTAAAATTTTCTAGTAAATCGAACTATTCAGAAGAATATCACAGTTGTACAAATTCCAGAATGATTTATTATTGAGTACCCATATTTGGCGAGAAGTTTTGCTCCACAATATAGTTTACCAATTTGACAATTTATATATTTTATAATTCAATTTATAGTGCAGTTATAGTTTATAGTTCAGTGTAAAAGCACGGTCCTAACCAAAATATTACAATTTACCATATATCTTATAGCGCATCACTTTTATACTAGTTGTAAAGTTGGTTGTAATTAGTTGATTGTACTATATTAAAGATTCAACTGTGTTACTGTTACAAAATTAGTATCTATTAGTATCTATATTTCAATACACCATCGGCTGTTAGCAATATTTAGTTAAAAAAGTCCTTAATATTTGAGCTCAACCCATCAGCAAATGAATCCTTAGACTTTTCTCTTCAAAATTGTTTACAATCATTTAAGTTTTCTAAATTGAAAGTGCAAATATTTACTTAATTTAAGCTTTGTTTTAAATACGCGTTTAGAGGCTGCGTAAATATATTATTATTCCATTTCATTTTAACCATGACCACCGCTAGATCTTCAGTGTGAAAAAAATTTATAAAAAAAAAATTGTTGGTTGCTAGTTTGCTGCTGTCTTATCTGTTATGAAACTGTTAGAAAATTCAATTGTTTTAAACTAATTTTGCACTGATATGATTGTAGGCCACTTAATAATTTTGGCAATTTAGTTTCTGTCATGTAATTGAATTAAATTTCTTTAATGTAATTAAATGGCAACATTTCTATGCATTACCAATTGAATCTCGTGGATTTTTGTGTAATTTGGAATTAGTTCCAAACAGTAAAGAAATCTTGAAGTCGATATAAAACAGTAAAGCTTCGCTGATTGAAGTTAAAGGTATATATGAGGAGGTGGTTAAAGTCCTGGGAAAAACACCGATCTTTTTGTTTTTTCTTTGGTATACCATAAAACATCAACAAATTAATTTTTATAAATATTTTTTTTCTTGGCAATAATATAATTTGACTATTTTTTAAAAAAATATGTATACATTTTTATTTTGATAAGTATTTACTTTTTTTATAATTTTATATTATGTATTATAAACTAAAAATTAAAAAAGACTTAACGAAAAAGGTTAAAAAAGTTTATTTCTAATAATGAGAAAGAGAAACTATTTGAATGTAAAAAAGAAGAGATATATAAATATAACTTAATTTGAAAAAATATTCTTATAATTATAATATTTTGTTTCGTATAAATATATTATATAGCATACATATTTTATTTTATATTTTTATAAATATTTTCTTTTTCTATATTTTATATTTTACAATTAGTTGTAAAATAAAGATAAAAAATTAGTAGAAATAAAAAAAGAATATATAAGAATTAAAATATTACAAAAAACAACTTGAATATAAAAAATAAAACATGCGTATATATAATTTTTTTTTAATACAAATATTCTTTTTAGTTATAAATTTTTTGGTAAAACTAGCAATAAAATATTTTATAACACAAAATTATTTAATTTTGATAAATATTTATATGTATATATAAATACATATCTATAAATTACTATTAAATAAAACATATTAAAGAAATTATTAAAAAGAATATGCAAGACTTAAAATGAATTTATTTTTAAAAGGAAAATGAAAAACAATTTTAAGGAAATTTAATAATTGCTTTCTTGTAAAAATAGTCTCAAAATATTTTATAATAAATATATTTAATTCTATTTTGATAAATTTATTTTTAAATAAAAAAAAAATTTACAAATAGCATCAAATAGTTTATACAACAATATTTAAATCTATAATTAGATAAAGGTTTTTTCAAATAAAAAAAAAAAACAATTCAAAAATATATGAAAACAATATATAAAAAGTTAAATAATAATTAAAATAAATTTTTTATCAAAAAAACTTAACAGCGTAAAATAAAATGTATGTATTAGTTATTTTTTATAAGTTATTTAAATCTTTTTATAACATGTTTTATATTTTTATTTATTAACATTAAAACAAAAAAACAAATGTAACGAAATTTTAATTTTATAACAAAATTTTACTGAAAAATATTTTTTTGTTTAACTAAGTTTTTCTCTAATATCACAACTCTAATTGAAATATTATACAATTCTTATTATTTTCATTACAAAATATTCAGTTTTGAACCATAAATTTGTAAAAATGGTTCGCAGTTCCCCCGAGCTCTGGTTAAAGAGTTTATATATTTATATGTATATACATATATACCATACATACAAGTATGGTATGTAGAAGATCTTATATGTATTTTCATTTGCATGCTATACGCTTATGCAAATTAAAAAACATCCAACAAAGTTTTGGTTAAACCAACGCCAGCTGTACTCTAGCAGCTACCAACATTGCTATTTTAAAGCAGAATGTATAAATGTAAAAGTGAATTAAAAAGTTTCTTTGGCCAAAAGTAAACTAAAAACGGCGCAAAAAGCATTATTACATAAATATGCATATGAGAAAAAATTCCTTTCATATGCAATAGCGCATTAAACAAGAAGGCTTTAGGGGGAAACAACGATGGCAACGGTTATGACAATTACCTCCGTTTGCTGTTGAAAGTTTTTGCGCGCCGCGCCAGCACACAGACAAAGGCGATTACAGCTACAAACGCGCACATATGTTGCCGCACAAAGGTTGAACAAAAGCCAGGGAAGGAAGTGCGTGCGTGTGTGTATGCGATAGTAGTGGTATGTAATAACTATGGGGGTGTGGGTGAGAGTGCAGTAAAATGCCGCTATTATGCAAGCGTAAAATTCATTTAATTACCCCCCGCCGCCGCTGTCGCGCCAAAGTTATAAACAAATGCAGCGAGTATTTGCTGTTCTCTTTCTCTCTTCTGTTGTGTTTGCTTTAATACCCTCCACCGTGTATATTAAGTTTATCACGAAGCTTGTAATGCCCAGAAGAAAATATCGGAGAAGCTGTGAAGTATATATGTATATAAATGATCAGCGGGACGAGCTGATTTGATTTAGCCATGTCCCACTATCAATCTGCCTGCGTATACGCGAACTAGTCACTCAGTTTTCGAACTGTCGCTGAGAATTTTTACATGCGTCCCCAAGAAGCTGCTCATTTGTCGAAACCGCCGATTTCGCATTACCATAGCATATAACATAACTTTTTTATTTGTCTAGATATCTTAATGAAATTTGGTATGCATTTCTGCCAAGAGCAGTGGTGCAAACTCCGAAGAAATTGTTTTGATCGAAACACTATAACATATAGTTGCCATACAAACTTAACGATCAAAATCAAGTTCTTGTATGGAAAACTTTTTTATTTTACAAAATATCTTACCAGAACTTAGCATGGAGTACTGTCAAAGACAGTACTAAAATATCTGAAGATATTTCGCAGATCGAACCACTATAGCATATAGCTGCGATACAAAATGAACGATCAAACTCACGTTCTTCTGTGGAAACTTCTTTATATGTGAAGGGTATTATAGCATTGGTGCAACCGAAGTTAACGTTTATTCTTGTTTTTTTTTTTTTTTTAATTTTCGCTTTGCAGCACATTTTTACAGTTGCATATTTGCTGGCTTTTCACCTCTTTTCTTGCGCATGAAACAAAGAGTCTTAATGGCAACGCAGCTTTTAGCATTGCGTCGCCGCTTTACTGAATGAATGCCAGCATAAAAAGTGTGCACATGTATGTATACGAGTATATGTGTATATGTTTGCTTGAGAGCATTCGCTTTAATGCATTCACTTGGGCAGATCTTTGCAGCTCATATTTTAAGTCCACACAGCTTAACCAATAATATTTTAGCGTTAAATATTTTTTAACATACATATTGTTGTTGCGTGCTCTTACTCTTCACTCATTCTTCTCTTGTTCTTTTTTTTTACTCTTATAGGTGATAAAACGCCACCCGGCTTTCCGGTAATAACTCAGGGTCCCAGCACACGTGTCATCGAAGTCGGTCATACAGCGGTTATGCAATGCAAAGCCATTGGTAATCCAACGCCCACAATTTACTGGATAAAGAATCAGACAAAGGTCGACATGAGCAATCCGCGCTACTCGATAAAAGATGGTGAGTACCAATATAGGAAGTTGTGTAAGGAGGGGTATGCTTATAAATGTACTATAAAATACGGTTATGAAATGCATTTTGTAACTGGCGATATGTGCGCGTGTATGGGTTAGCGCATTTTTTCATATGTTAAAACCGCTATCACTCGTCAGCGCCTGCTCTTATACTACATGCGATTTCACGTACATATGCGCCATATTTTATGGCGCTCTTACTGTGCATATGGTAATAGTATATTTCTGGGCGCATATGCATGACAGCTGCTATTATGTTACTTTTTTTTTGACTGCTTCTTAACGGTTTTATACTTTTTTCTCTGTAATTAAATGGTGGATAATAAAAATTTTGTAACATGCCACTAAAAAGGGTTAGCATTTTTTTGTACAATATTTGAGTTGCACCTAAGCTAATAAAAAAATGGTATGTGTTACTTCAGTTTATGTCACTTTTAGTCAGCTTTTGTTGGAAACTCGGAAACTAATAAGTAAAATCGTAAGATAATACGCATATATGGTTGAATTAGACCTTAGCCTTCAAAGACTGACATATATTAGGCCATGCTAATTCAAACAACAGCTGATATTGTTATAACTAACCTTTGAACCCACAGTGAATAGTCAGCGCCTGCCAACCCCATTTTATTAAAGAACATTTTTCTTTACAATATTTCTAAAATAATATCTATAATCAATGAAAATATTTAAACAAAGGGATAGCTGGCAGGCATGTGATACATTTTTTAGTAGTACTTCCATTATGCATTCGAATTTCTATTGCTCTCAGTTCAAAAAATGCATAACTTAAACCACGTGAATTGTGAATTCGTAGTACTCTGTTTCACGACCTCTAATAGCAACCGTGTTAAGCATTTTTAAAGAAACTTACTTTATAAATTCGAATTATTCATATTCTTAGATCAAAATATTTCTTAATTTTCAAAATTATATAAGATAAAGTGAAACGAAATTCAAAGGTTTTATTTAGCATGGTTAAAATTATCCGATTAGGCCCAATATGCACCGTTTTGTTCCATAGCTTGTTGTCATTTTGAAGATAATTTCTCTCATAGACCCTTCTTGGCAAAAAAATCGGAAGAGTGTATTTTCACAAGCTTCTCTTGAAACGGATTTTTTACCATCATCATCATCATTCACTATTGATAGAAACAGATAGTAATAATTATAATTATTAATTATAAGCGAGCTTCAGGCGAGTCACTGTCGATGTGGCATCGTCCTATTGGACCACAATTCCTTTGCTAATGGCTAAAACTGGCAGTTTCTGTTCGATTGTTTTCTTCAGACAATCCAATTGTTGGCAATGCAAATCCGCATTAAGATTTTGAATGTAGGAGAGCAGCACATAGTAGATGATTATCTGCTAATCGTACCAAATACATAGTAGAACCTTTCTGCCCGTCAAGTATGACTCACCACAATTCGGCCAGTTTCGTTGTCATAAGTGACCCACTTTTCATCGCAGTGTACATCAATCGGTTCATGAGGCCTTTTTGCGCTAACTATGCGTGCCATATATCGTGCTTCGTTTTGCTTCCAGCCCTATTTAACGAGCCTCAAACGGTTTTTCATGTAATGCGTAGCTCCTCGGTTATCGGGACAATATTTACATGAAAGTCGGACTCAAAATTACCCTTACTTTATCGATGTTTTTGACAAATGGTTTTCCAGATGAGCCATCTTTGATATCAAAATTATCGGAGCAAAAACTATGAAGACAAAATTGCGCCTGATTGGCTGTTACAGTATGAAGATCATACCAACTCACCTGACATCATATTTTCAACCCTTTGTCTTGCGTTTTTTACCAAAGAAAAACCATAAAATATGGCATAGTTTGTGGTCGATCTTTGCCGGGTTCGCAAACAATACCGAATCGAACAATTACAAAGCGGTCTGAAAAATGGCTTTCAGTAAAAAATTGTATCGTTTCTAAGCCGTGCTTAAATACGGATTACTAAAGCCATTTTTTTTTTACTAGACCCTTTATTTATATGAAGAGGTGGCAACCATGCCACAAAACTTTTAGTAAAACCTACATTAAATTCTTATAATATGTTTTATTTATTGCGTTGAAAACGGTACAAAGATGGTAACCTTGATCTATAATTGAAAAGTATGCAACAAGAGTACTTACACATATGTACTTGTATGTATGTTATATTATATACCATAAATATAATATAACACATTGAAGTGCAGGTTCTTAGTATATATTATAGTTAACTATATATCTTAATATATAGGTAACATACGCTATTAATATTATTTTTAAAACGGATTACAATATAGTAATTATTTTATACTAGAAATTTTTTTTAACCACTTTAAAAACTATAAAGCATTCTGTAAGTTAATTAATGAATTATGGCAACGCTGAAAAAACCTTTGCAAACCTAGAAGCAATTTAGGGGTTAATGCATTGATCCAAACCTTTTACTTGCATTCATAAATTTGATATTTAAATTCTATATCATATGGTAACTCTACCTCAAAAAGATTTAAGAAAGCTTAAAATAATTACGTTTGAAAATGATAACTGCTTACTTAATTTTGTACAAATTTGTGTTTAACAAGTTGGCAACCCTTAAATACCTATTTTCACCAAGCACAAATTAGCACTTACCAACATAGACTAACAAAAAATGCATTTCACGCTGCTTATCTTGCTAACAAGCAGCTTACAAGAAGCAGTTAAAAATTGATTTTCATTACTCGCAATTAAAACGTGAAATTTAATTATGAAAATCAAAAAGTTTGTTTTTGCAGCCTTAATCCAATTACATTCGAGCTGTAATTATGAACGTTGCTCATTAAGCGAAACATTGCTGCTAACACTTGTAGGCAATTTGCCTTATTATATGACTTATTTTAAAAAACTTATTATTACTTGCTCACTTCCTCACTTACTGGCTTATTTGCGCACTTTCATACTAACAAGCGCAGCAAATGAGCTTAAGAAGTCCAAAAGCCCAAGTTGCTTCGATTACTTAGTAAGCAATTCTCGTTTCTCGTTTCTCGTCGAACTATGTAACGTTTTTATTTTCTTTCTTTCGTTCGCCACTCAACACTCTCTTCGCCAGTTACTGCTGTCAGTTATGCATATATATATAATATATATTCCCCGATTCATCTTCATCTGCGTACCATCATCATAACAACACTGTGCTACGAAGCGTCAACGCGCATTTCCTTGGTGTGTAGTAAATCATAAATTGTATGCTGTTTGACATCCCTCTCAACTCCCTAGCGACCTGTGAGTTTACACTTTTCTAACTCCTCAAGTTGCCTACCTCGTCTTCACAATTTTCTTGTCTACTTTTAGTTGCACATATTTTCTTCGTAAGCATAATATTTTGACAGACGAGATGTTAAAGAGTTGTTGTCGCAGGTAACAGTTAGCTACTTACTCTAGCCTTACCGTTTACCCGCTCATACCTTTACTGTTCAGCACCTCAAAGTGGACTCTTGCTAGTTAATTATTTGCGGATTAAAGCTGTCTGCGCACAAAGCTATACTAAGCGCATGACAAGTTAGCTAGTTAGCTAAAAGATATTGTCGTATTTTGCAGGTGGAGTCTGCTGAAAAGGTACAATTTTACTTACCTTTCTGTAAATTCTTTCACGAAATGCATACTCGTATTCACTGAGTGATTTATGTGGAAAGACGAAGATTTTATCGATATTATTGCATATTTTAAGGGGCTGAATGCTATTTGGTTAGAGTTAGCAGTTTTCAACTTAAAATATGTGAGAGCAGTGGAATTAAAATCGAAATATTAGTCGCTTATTCTATTTGATTCTGTACTTTTTATACGGTTTGAGCTATAAGCAATGTTGGGCAACTAAATGTGGTGTAATTTTGGGCGCAAAAACTTTTTCTATTAAATGTCGCAGTCGAGAGTAAAGCCCACGACTTAATACTTGCGTCACATACCAGTTTCTCTGCTAAGAACTCTTGAGAGGGTTGGAGTTTTTCAAATCAATTTTTGATATCCTGTTCTGATGTGAACCGTATTCTAGTTTGGACGTTCAGCATCGACCGGAACAAATGGTAGTCAAAAAGGACTATATATGGGCTATACGGTGGGTGAATTAAAACTTCCCAGCCGCTGTTTTCCAAATAGAGTTTTAACCAGTCTTAATGGAATATCATTGCCTCGTGCCTAGTCGCAACTTCCAGGCGTTTTTCGAAAACCCCACGAATATAGTTATAGAACCATTAATTATTTTAGAAAATAGCGGTATTGATATTTTAATATATTTATATTATTTAATTTGAAATTTTTTAAGTTTATTTCCCTACAATACAGTAAATTTCAATCAATAAATAAAGCCAACTTACAGGAATTATTACAAGGTCTCATAGCCAAGGTTATTGGTGACAAATGCTACATCAGCCATATAGAAAAAAATAGACTTCATATTTTTTTAAGTAGCATACCTTCTGGCGCATACTAGCTATACCAGTAGCCATAACTCAGTTTTCACTTTCTTTTTCAGGAGTTAAAAAATACTTTACTTAGTTTTAACATTTTATTTGTTTTTTTAGGGCATTTGGAAAATACATTTATATTTAGGAACTATTTTTAGGAGTGCATTGAAATATTAATTTTTTTAGTGTTAACTTGTCGTTTAGACATCCTATTATTGTAGATACATCGTTTATTTTTGTGTAGAAATTTCGGCACATTTTTCTCCAAAATATTGCCTACATCTAAACGCATTTTTGTTTTGTCGAAGTATTCAGTTATCATATGGTAACTATTATACATTTATTGATTAGAAATCCTATTAGAGATATGTTTTAATTTTGGGATGAAATTTACCAAAATATTGCCTACATCTAGGCGCATTGTTAACTTGTTTCAGTAGTTCAGTGTTTCAGTTCTCTTATCAAATCAAACCCCTTTAAGTCGCATTTTAAGCTGAAATTTATAACAGAAACATATAATATATAAATTACTTCGTTCGCTTAAGCATT